ATTTTGTTGTTGTGACATCGATGACGCCATTTTTAAAATCGTTATCGCCAACCGTGAAAATATTCGGCGTCGGATTGACTTAATTGGAATTTGAATTTCCCGCTGGCCATTCAGTTGGTAACACCACTTCAAAAAATGTAACGCTGCCAAATTAAATTCTTGACATTTTGAATTTTGATTGCGTTTTGGCAGTTTACGAGATTTTGGTTTGTGCTATTATTTGTGAGCTTGTTTTTTAACAGCAGCTTGTGTACAAGATGCCGAAGCAGCTTAACAGCCGTTGCAAAGAACTAATCGCATCCTTGTTACAATATTTCGAACGAGCACGCGATGCGATAATTATGGCCCTTTATGTCCCTTAAATGCTGTTAGGAAGGTGAGTTTATTTCGTGGACCAAGGACCAACTAGGAATTTTCAATTTGAACTTTATTTTCTCTCATTTTTAGCGCGTAGCAAAGGCGTTGAACTTAAGTAGGTATGTCCACTGTCTGTGCTATTTCAAAGGCAGTCAAAAATAACGAAGTTTTGGAATCGCCTTCTGAGAAACGATGTACTTCGAAGAGAATCTGTGATGTTTCAAAGCTCGATAGCAGTGCTATACGTAACACTAGTTACGTTATGTATACAAAAAGTAAATCGCTTGAGACAAAGGTACATAGATATCTATGAATCGCATTCTTTCTTCTTGTAGGACAACATGTAACATTATCCTGTATATGGGAGCAATTGAAAGCCAAACAATTATTTGATGGCAGTCCCATGTAATTGAGTAGAATGTTGAAAGAAATAGGCTTCAAATGGAAAAAATATGACCCAAGACGAGGGCTCATGGAACTTCCTGATATTGTTGTTAAACGCATATCATTTTTGAGGTCTTATCTAAGACTGAAACAGGAGGCTTTGTACTAGTTTGTTTTCTTGGACAAGATTTGGATTTTTCAAAATGGTACTTTTAACCGCTCGTGACAAGACAACAAGCGAAGAGTTAAAACTACCAAAGTTGATGGTGAAAGGTGAATATAAACATGAATTCAGAGAGCAGTTGTATTATATGTACAAAGAAATGCTTTTTTTAGATATATCATACTTCATGCTAGCACTGAAAATGGATTCATTGAAGGTGCATCGCTCGTATTTTCATCGAAAACTCAACTTAACGACTATCATGGAGAAATGAATCAGCAAAACTTTTTACGTTGGTTCGAAAATCAGCTGTTGAAGAACTTGAGGAGTGAACCATCTGTCATTGTTATAGACAATGCTGCTTACCACAGAATGTTATTAACGAAGAGACCTTATAGTTCGTCTACCAAGGCTGAAATTCAAAATTGGTTAACCGAACAGAAAGTTGGGTATCCAAAAACAGCATTGAAATCTGAACTTGTGACCATTGTTGCACGGTAAGTACCTAAGTACAATACCAAAATTGTTTGCATTTTATGCTCAACTTCTCAAGTATTGCTTTTTTCAGGAATAAACCAACAAAAAAGTATGTGGTAGATGACTTAGCAGAACAGTATGGACATAAAGTTTCACGACTACCTCCATAACACTGTACCTTTAACCCGATTGAACTTATCTGGAGAATTGCAAAAAACTATTATAACCAACATATTGGCAGAGATGGTTATACTCAAGATGCTTGTTTGAAAATGTGGCGAGAGGCACTGGAAACTGTTACCCCTGAAATGTGGAAAATGTTAAAGACTCTAGCGATTCTAGCGATTTCAGTGATCTAGAATAATTGAAAATATTCTTGATAGTTCAAATATTCATATAAAATTTAATTATTTATAGTATTTAGAGTGGCTGTAAATAAAATAGGTACTGAACGTTATTATTATATTTTATGTGATGATTGACAAATGAGTTGTTATTAAATATCTATTAAACCCAGCTTTGAAACATTGTTTATACTTTAAGTAATAAATTTTGGCATTATATTATAATTTAATCCATTATTGTTTCTGAAAATATTTTGACAAAAGGAAAATATGCAAGAGACGGCAACGCTGTGCCGGCCGAGCTTGACAACCCGACTATAAGTTTATTTGGTATGAACTATAATACTGAATTACTTACGACATAAGAATAATAAGAGAGAAAATGGTAAACATAGACGTTACTGGACTACAAAACTTTTTCAGTACCTATAGAAGCCAGAGTGGTGGTAGTGGTGAAACCACGCACGACGCACGAAAATGAATCGCAGAAAAATATACCAACGCCGCGCACATATTTGCGCAAAAAAGTCACAACAAAACAATATTTTAGACCGTCAGATAGTGACATATTTAGGTGCCCCATTTTCGCATACAAGCCTCGAAGAGGGTTGAAAAGTACATCGATTTTGGGTAGGATGAAGGTATTTTCACAAGTGGCTCCTGGGGATAACATATGGAAAATTCGATTTTACTTATGTTACCCTAAAATGTACTTTTCCATTCGCGTCACTCAAGCCAATATGTTTTCTTGTTACTAACTTTGTAGATTTTCATCCTTCTGATGGGCTTCTGTGGAAAAATCGCCCAAAATCTCTATTTTTCCTTACAAGATTACGCCCTTATTTCAAACCTTTAGCCACCTGCAATACCCCCTTCTTTGTTTTCCGCAAGCCAGGATTTATTATTCAATCCTTCGGTGACACAGCTTGCGAGAAAATATGGGTACCAGGACGTCTTTCATTTCTGTCACGGAAAATCGAATTTTCCATACGTTATCCCCAAGAGTCACCCGTGAAAAAACCTTCATCCTACTCAAAATCGATGTACTTTTCAACCCTCTTCGAGGCTTGTATGCGAAAATGGGGCACCTAAATATGTCACTATCTGACGGTCTATTTGCGCCGCAAATATTTTTGTCGAATTTAACATATCGGGTCTTCAAAAAAAAAAACAATCAAAGATTGCTATGGTTTTTCAAACGTATGTCTTAGCAAAATTTTTCTTTCATTTTGTCAATGAACTTAATGTCAAAATGTCATGTCAAAAATCCTGACCAATAAAGAAACAGTAATGCGACGTACGTTTTCGTAATCAAAGCAATCTTCGATTGGTTTTTTTTTTGAAGACCCTACAACATTCAACACACAAATTTATTGGTCTGGACCCGGCTTTAAGGCCAAATACTTGAATGTTATTTACTGATAAGGCAGGTGAGCAATAAACTGTAGAATAAACAAACAAAAACAAATCCGCAGATAACTTTTTGCAGTCCCAGCCACAGCACTAGGGTCTTTGGAAAAATATGGGCTTACGCAATAACGCAGAAGAACCCCACTAGCACAGTAATGGAGAAATCAAGACACCGATTCAGATGATACCAATCACCACTATACTGTTCTTTACAAATACCAGAAAAAAAAACAATTTAAACGGGAGCGAATTAATAACACGTCCGCACGCATTCAATAAAGAAACTCCTATCAAAGGATCACTGCCCTTTGTTTGCTCTTATGAATTCTCAAGTCTAGCTGATTCAACAATTACCGGTAAGAACTGATAAAACTGTTGTGTGAGAAGTTTTTCCAATAATATTCATTTAACGTATTTGTAATACATACTAGGATATTCAGCATGTATCTATTCACGGTTTCAAGTACCTTTTCGTCGCTACCAAACATTTTAGGGATATTTTTTTACTGCCGATTTATTTTAAAAAAATGCGTCATAAAACCACTCCAATTCCTCCAATTGAGACTTTCACAGATGCTGAATTGCATAATGCCCTAGTGACACTAACGAAATATACCCAAAGGATTATGTTTAGCCAAACTTGCCTTTGAACAAAAGCACTCTGCACTATTACCCGCACTCCGCACAACACAGATTGACAGAAACTGATTATTCAGGACTTTCACAATAGATTTTTCCATTGTGGAAAACAAATGTTGAATTATTTAATTTCACAACCTTTTTGGATTCTATCTGCGAAAAGAGCTATCACTCGAATAACTTCTTATTGTTTAAAGTGCTTTTGAGTAAACCCTCCAATCATGCAACCAAAAACTGGTGATGTGCCCTCCTTCAGGGTCGCTCAAATAAAACCCTTTCAATGTTCCGCTGTAGACGTTGGTGGTCCCTTCTACTACATTACTATCACTCGGTCCAGAGGTGCAAGTCCCAATTTATGTCTGTTCGTATGCGGCGCGACAAAGGCCCTTCATCTCGAACTTGCCTCAGATCTGACAGCTTGTTAAGACGGTTTATGAGTCGACAGTTTCGGTGATTCATAGCGATTGTGGTTGGAGCTGTTGAATATCTCCATGAAGTGTTTGCCGAGGCTGCGCATGAAGAATAAATTGATTGGCGTTATAACCTTCCTGTTGGACCGCATTTTGGAGGATTGTGGGAAGCCGGTATCAAAAGTGTCAAATTCCACTTGATTCGCCTTATCGGTGACCAAATCCTCTCGTACGAGGAACTCTATACAGTGCTCACCCAAGTCAAAGATGTCCTAAACTCGCGTCCGCTATCTGCGCTGACTACGGATACCAATAATCTCTCAAGTTTGACCCCGGCCATTTTTTTAACCCTGGCTTCATTATCTACTATCCCTGATCCCGATTTGTCTGCCATAAGCTTGTCTCGTTTGAGCAGATGGACGTCTTGGACGCATAACTGAAACCCATTCTGGTATTGACGGTATTACTCGGGTTGTAACCCTTAGAGAGCCCATGGAATTGATCTGGCTCGAAGGCCCAATCTGTGTCCAAGGATTCACCTAGGATGATGTGGCTCCCTCTGATATCGCGGAAACATGGAAATGCAAGCAAACCTTTCATGTATCAGAATTTGTACCTTTGCCAAATTGTTTTAAATTTTCTTAAAAATAAAGACGAAACAAATATGAATCTTTTTAACATTTTTGTAAGGAAAATGTTTGCTACTTTTTGATATAATTCTGGAGTTTTTTCCATTTTAATAGCAGAGAAATTACCAAAGATGTCCGTTTTGTTCAACCAATAACTAGTCAAATATGTTAAGCTAAAAATGTTTACCTTTTGCCGCTTCATCCTCACTATTACTAACTCCAGCCCCATTCATATCATTCTGAGAATTAGCTGTAGTCTCTGTTGCACTTGTGCTTGGGCGAGGATTAGCTGAATTTGGGCTTGTAGTGCTGTTATTAGCCAAATTGGCCTCACTCTGAGGAGGACGATTTGTAGATGCCGTAGCAATGCTAGCGGCAACGCTGTATTGTTGCATCATTTGGACAGAGGCGTCAAGGAGAGTCTAAAAAGATTTGGGGAATTAGTTAAGATGATTTATGGAAAAAAAATTATAAAAAATAAAATCAAAATTCTAAACCTACAAGGGTTACCTGGATATTCCTCAAACACTGTATCCTAGCCTCAATATGTTGCCTTTCGTTCCCCTCCAAATTCCGCAACTCTTCTTCGGACAAAGTAGTCAAATTAGCCGGAGGCATTGGGGGCGGAGCCATGAAGGGCATTGGAAATGGAAACGTAGGAAACCCAAATGGTGGCATGAAATTTGGAGGCACATGATTATTAGGCCCTTGGCCTGGCTGGGCAGTTCCAGCTGGCTGAGGCTGTTCTGGCGCTTGTGGTTGTGCTCCGGCAGCATTTGGCGGCTGCCGAGGGGCGGCGTTGACTCCTGCCGCGGGCGGTTGGTTAAATAAATGGAATGGATTGGGGCGGCCCGCAGCGGCAAACATGTTAAGGAACTGGTTTTGAGCGGCGTTCTGGGGCGGCACTTGGGCCCCTGGAATGTTATTGTTCGTTGGTGGAGCAGGAGTTCGTAGAATATTCAAACGGCATGTTGGGCAGGTTTGTTGACGTTGGAACCAAGATCTATTAAGCAAGATTTTGTTAAAATCTGTTCAATTTCAAGATTATTTGAGAAATTGAAATTACATATTAAATTTTTATTGAATCGGCTTTTACTTGGTGGAAATCCATATATATTGCCACTATTTTATAGTGGAAAGATATAAGTATTAAAATTTACTTAAAAAATATTTTATTACATATTACATATACAGCTTGTTTGTCAAATAAAAAAATAGTTACAGATTTTTACCTCAAGCAGGAAGTGTGGAAAATGTGATTGCAAGGCAACTTTTTCGAAGCAGTAACCATTTCCTCGCGACAAATAATGCAAACATTGTCAGCTGCTGCCAATTCTTCTGGCGTAGCATCTGGATATAAAGTATTCATATTGTGTATAGCCCGTCTAGACAGTATAACATCACTAAACGCCTTCTTAAAGTTCCTTATTGTATAGTACATGGGGCGGAAAGCAAACAATGGCAAAGTATAAATTCGTACCATTATAGCTACAAACGCCACATACAAAATAACTTTAATCAGCCCCATTACTAATTCAGTGTAAAGGAGAAATACTGCTTTATTATCCCATGGAGTTTCGCTGTTGAGGTCCACTGAATGTAGTGCGTATTTTATGCCTATGTTTATAACGACTGTTATGAGGACTGCATATTCAAAACCAAAGACAAGCTGTACTGAAGCTCCCTAAATATTTATTTAAAGTTTATAAATAAATTGTTTTCATATTTCTTAGACTTACCTTTGTAACTGTGGATTGGTATGCATGCGCAATGAAATGCATGTCTAACGCGCCCAAAAGTAGGAGCAGGCTTAAAACTCTTATGTGGAAGAGCCAACTTATGACCGGACTTCTTTCCATCTGAAATATATGAATAATTATTTTTGGTATCAGTGGGATATAGACTTGTTTATTGCACTAATTGTGAGTTGTGAATATTGCATGGTGATAATAATCGTTGAGTATTTTGTAGAAGAAAAAAAATGATTTTTAATAATAAATGTGCTGTAGATTTTTGTATTTATTTATTTATTGATTCATTACAAACTCTACAAATTAACATCCAATTACAGAGAAGGGTAGAATACTAACTCTCGTACTAACCTAAGTAAAAGTAAAAATATAAAAAGTTAACATTAAAATATACATTTATTCCAATATATCATTAAGTATTAACACATGTATTAATATGGAACTTTACAATTTTTTTTTTTATTTTTTCAAATCATTTATTTATGCCTTGAAAGAGTATTCCCCAAATATTATTCCCTAAAACTCAATAATAACTTAGTGAAAAATGTTTAAAGTTTTGCGCGAATTAAAAGCATTTCAAACGATCCTAAATGCACGCGAATCTGGATGACGTCACGTAAAATCTGTTTTTTTTTTAAAGATAATTCCCCAACATAATGTCATTTTGACTTTTAACTTTAAAAAAAATACACACTTTAGTATGATTTTGCGTTAAGCCGGCGCCACACGATGTGTCCAACCATTGGCCCCAACGTTAGATCGATCCAACGTTGGGTACAGTGTTTTTCACTCTAGCATTCGGCAAATGTATCATGTATCCGATGAGCGTACGGCTACACGATGCCACAAATCGCTATCTTTTCAACGTTAAAAGGCATTCGACACATCATGTGGTGCCGGCTTCACCTTGTCGTCAAACGTCAGGCTTTATTGTATTTAATTTGGTTGATTTCCACATTTTCCACAGTTATTTGGTTTGTTGTTGTTTTGTGCTGCGGCGAGTTGTAAATTTCGAAGTATAATGGAAAAAAAGATTCGCACATACTTACTTTTGCTACCATATCACAAATTACAGATTGTCGGATTAGTCTTTGGAATTTCCTTCTTCGGTCATAATTAATAGGTATATCGTTTTATCCATATATAAATCATTAAATTTAAGTTAAGTAAACCAATTCTGATAAATAATAAAATTTAAAAAAATCAGAGAAAAACGTAAATAAACACAGCTAACGGGTATTTATTATGTAGAGTTCGAGTGAACGCTCGGAGTTGATGTTTTGTTTTTTTATCCCTGTTCTTCTCATCATAAGGAAAAAAGACGGAAAATGCTCCGAGCACTCAGTGTTTCAAAACGAACTCACGGTATGATGGACGGTTGCTGACAGACACTGACAGATCATACTAGATGACGTCAGGAGTCAGGACCAGTACCAGAGCGTTTTTTCCATACCCCGCGATCTTTAAATGTACCACTTGGTTGGATAAAAAACTTGTTGCATGTCCGGTAGAGGCGCTACCAATTGATTTGCGTACGCGTTGTTGATTGTATCTCCAAGGTATCTCCGCTTCTGGAGAAGAAGGGTGACGTCATTTCCAATAAAATGACAAAATGACAAATGATGACAAAACGATGAAGATGAACTACAAAACGATGAAGATGAACTGCAAAACGTTGTGCTTCTTGTTGTTTTTCAATGTTTCTGTTTGTTAAAAAAGTGTTTCGTATTGTTAATAGAGCGTTATCTGTGTGTATTTGTGGACTTTCATAGTGTTATGTTTAGTGTAACGACTAGATATTATTGTTATTTAATTCTGTGTTGTTGAGGATTGACTTTGTTGACAAGTTGCGAAACGCCAACCTAACTTTCTTCTTTCTTTGTAATAAACCATTATTTGTTAAATTTGTATCAAATTGTGTCTTTATCATAAAATAAATAAAAAGCAAATCTAAAAAAATTAGAAGGAAACTGCTCTACAAGCTGCTACAAGGAGATGAGCTCTTTTCATAGACAACAGATGGCACTACGAATGGTGGTTCGACCCGTATAATGCGAGTGTCCATTCTATCCCCATTATAAACCTTATTCTATGGTTTTTTCCCGCTGGAAATAATTTGAATTTTTCCGCATTTTTAATTCCTTATTTTGGCCGTTTGCGACAAAAAAAATTGTTTTTTTATTGATAACCTATTTTAGTTATTTAAAGTACTCCTCAGCGTGTTTAAATCCAATATTCAAAAACGCGCGTGTTTTAATAAAGTTACCATGACAACATCAACAACCCAAGGAAGGTAAAGTCCAAATGTCAACTTTTTAATTATTGATTTTGTCAGACAACGAAAGGTATATCAGATGTCATATCACGAATTAAGTATTTTTCAACTATTAGTGATTTATGATTTCAACGTATAGGTACCAATAAAAAAAAATCGTGTAAAGTATTCGTGGATAACTGGTCTTTAAAACACTTGCTCTATTTGCTCTATTTCGAGCACTCCGGCTGCGCCGTCGTGCTCGAAAAATCGCGCGTGTTTTGAAGACCTTAATATCCACTCATACTTTAATATACTATTTTTTTCGCTGATATAGGTTTTAATTGATGTATTCTTATGATTTATAGTAATATTTTCATGTTTAAATTTTTTGTCAAGTTCCCTATTTCAACCTACTTACAGAACTCAAAATCCACATATCAAATTGCAAGCGCATTTGGTTGTATAATTTACACATTACAATAACAGGTGGATTGTTGTAGTGATTAGTTCGAGTATTATCAGTATATAAGCTCAATGGATTTCGTGTTCTATGTCGAAGCATAAAATTTAATTTGGTTGGTATTTAATATTTTATACAGAAATATAATTGTAGAAACTTTCCTCCTACCTACGAGCATTTGTATATTATGGGTTTTCATGATTTCTAATTTTGGTATATGCATTTTATATAGCCCTGTTTCCTTATAGTGAGAATATCTCAAAAATGTATTTTGAATTTTTTCAATACTTTATTTATGGTTTTTGTTCATTGTATATTCATAGTTAAAATGCGTTTTTCTTCTACTAAACTAAGCACAAAGCATTTGTCAATATTAAATTGTAATTTATTTTCAATTGACAAAAGACATATTTTGTCCAAATTTTTCTGGATATATTGACAGTCATAATTAACTAAATTATTAATATACAACAGAAAGAGCAATGGTCCGAGGTTGGAGCCCTGCGGAATACCTGAAGTTGCACAAAAATAATCGGAGTACCCTGACAACAACTCGTTGTGGTCTATTATGTCAATATGACCTAAAAAAAGCTACCAGATTATCATAAAAACCAAACTCATTGCACAGCTTCTGTATAAGGATGCTATGCGATATTCTGTCAAAAGCCATCTGTGTATATTACGTCAACCTGACATCTTCCATCAAGGCTCTCAGCAACAGGGCCGGCTCTAGATATTTCGGCGCCCCGTGCAAAAGGTATTTTTGCCGCCCCTCTTACCGATTACTTTCCTACTTTGTAGTTCCATTACTACCTATTTGCTGAAACTTGACGTCCATAAGGGACTATGTGTGTATTTTATGTAAATTTCTGAAGTGTTTTTATCAGTTGACAACGTTTTCTGATAGAAATATTTATTTTTGGCGTTGCTGTAGTGGCTCATGTAATTGACGTAATTTATGTTTTTAATTGTAGTGTAAGGCTGAGTGCACGTTGAGGAAATTAAAGAGTAAAAAGACTGCACGAAATACAAAGTCTTTTTACTCTTTAATTTATGTTTTTGACATTTATTTGCACAGCTTCTTGGGGTCCGTTTTGTACCCGATGCCCAGGTATTTTATTGGTAGATAAATATTCCAAGTAGGTAACTCGGTTTTAACGAACATTAAAGGAAATTGAAATAAATTGAAATTCATCAAATTAAACTCTCAAAAACAGGTAGAAATAACACACATTTATATGGAGGCAATGTTTGTTTACATTTCGGGCCTCGTCGCCATCTTGATTTATCAGCTGATTCGAATCGCCTAATTGGCGGCAACTCTGAAATAACACCAAAACATAACCTGCAAATTGTTTGCGGACGAAATCTCATTGTTGGGGACGCCTGAAACTAGAACCGACGTTCTTCCATGATTTCATGAACACAAACGCTTTCGCGAGTAACTCATGACGTCATATTGAACATAGTTCGCCAGAAGCATGAACGCAGCTTCTAACCAGCGTTCAAACTCATGACGTCACGAGACGAACCATGGTACGTCTTTGGATGAACTACATTCGTCGCGAAAATTCGGTTCAGGCTAGCGATAGGTGTTTTCGGGTTCTTGTGTTTCAAACTGTTCACGAACCATCCTGGAACTGCGCAGAACTAGTTGCGTACTTATTCAGTCCTTAGAACAACAATTCTCCCCAAGATTTTTGCCACCCTTCGATTTTGCCGCCCTGTGCAGGGGCACAGGCTGCACGGGTCCTAGAGCCGGCCCTGCTCAGCAATATCACAGATCACCTAATACAGATGCGTAAGTACGTATACTTGCTGTTGACGATATTCTGTGACGAAGCCGGGCCGCCAGCGGCCCCACGCATAGATAAAGATCGCCCGCGTCAGGACAATAGGGTCGTTACCTCCTGTTATTAAAATTATACTGATCATTATTTTTCGATATAGTGAGGCCTAAAACTTGGCTATGTCATACTGGTTTTATTGAAAATTGTTTCCTGGATTATTTAAATTAATTTAAAATTTAAACATTTTTTGTCCTTGTCGAATTGTTGGTCTCTTTCTCCCATGACGTCACTAGGCGGGCATGCGCAAAGCAGTTGTAAACAAATCCATCAACATATTGAATTTTGTGAGGTTATGTTGTTTTGTTATTATTTTGGAATGTCGTTGATCGTTGTTATATTTTCATTATTTTTTGAGTTTTCCAACGGTTTTTCCGAGGTTTCAAGAAAAATATTTAAAAGAAACGTGTAATAAATTCAAGGTAAGTCATTGTGTCTCATTATTTGATGTTATTAAGGTCTCAAATAGAGCATGCATTTCAGTTTCAGTGTACCCACCTAAGTCCTACCTACTGTTCACTATTTGGCTATGGATTTTCGTAAA